TCTGTGCTCTAGGACAATAAATACAGCAGGCTGCTCTCTCTGTGTTAAGGCCTTAGGCATCCTCTGCCTTTCTGGTCAGCGTTTCATCACTAGCAAATGCCTGAGATGAATCACTTATAAGGAGAAAAGGCTTATTTAGGCTCACAGCTTTGGAGGTTCCAGTCTAAGGCTGGTCTGTTGCTCTTGAGCCATGGCAAAACATCATGATCATGTGGTAAAGCAAAACCTCTTACCTCATGGCCAGGAGCATAAAGAAACAAAATAAACCAGGCCCCCACAATCCCCTTTGAGGCCATGTCCCCAGTGATCTAGGACTCTCCCTAGTTCCATCTCCTACAGGCCCTCCACAGTATCACCCTGGAGACCAAGCCTTTGGGAGACATTTAGGATGTAAAGCCTAGCATAGCTCTTGTTGCCTACAGGCCATCAGGCCATACCTTCCCTAACAGACAAATGGACTTTAGAACTTTAATACTTATCACATATCAACCACCTGGCTCCTGGCCCCTGCAGGTGTGTAGACTGAAGTCTGGCTCTCTTCTCTGGGGACATCCTTCCATGCTGCACCAGCATCTTCATGGCCCCAAGGCTAAGCTTCAAGGTAATTTAAAGAATAGTTATGGGGCTGGAGAGATGGCTCAGTGGTTAACAGTACTGACTGCTCTTGCAGAGGACCCGGGTTCGATTCCCAGCACCCAGATGGCAGCTACTAACTTAACTCCAGTTAAGTCCTTAACTCCAGTTCCAGGGGAATCCGAAGCTCTCTTCTGACCCCCGTGGCATTGCACAACACAGGTGTACTCACGTACATGCAGGCAATACACTCACACATAAAATTAAAAAAATAATTAAAATATTAAAAAAGGAATAGTTATACACTATGAGATCATTGTGAAGAGCCACTGCAACTTCCCCCTCAGGTTCTACCAGCTCCACTTCCTACCTTGCTTTCTTCAAAAGTCACATGTAGGGGCAAGTCCTGGGATGGAGAGCCTAGGAGAGCCTAGTCTTCAGATGGGAAGGGTGTACCAGATGATTGGCAGCATCTGTGATGTAGACAGAGAAGAAAGGCCTGGCCTGTTGGGTGCATTTCACCACAGCAACCTGCAGTCTGTGTTCCAGCATAAGACCACAGCAGGAGAGCACCCAGCCCCTTGGGAATAGCTGGCCCTGACCCACTGCAGCCCATATCTGGGCCATCTTGTGTGTGGATGTCTCCTGCCTCACATCAGACCTGTCTGGTCAGTTGTAGGTGCCCACCTCTTCCAGCAGCAGGAGGCAGGTGCCATTGTAGGATTATTCTACAGCAGCTGGCTCACCAACTTCTAGAATGCCCATTGTGCCTATACTTGCTTAGCTGCTAGCAAATTGCTACTTAAAGTCAATCAAACCTCTAGCCTAAGTAGCTAATTACAATGCAGATTGCTGCAGACACACAGGAACCAGCACAGACTAGGCTGATCCAGGCTGCTAAGTTGGCCCGATGAGCAGGCACCCCACCATTGACAGGATGAGCCTATCCCAGAGCAACTGTCAACTGCCTTTCCATGGCCATTGAGTCCCAAAGCCAGGTTCCTTTGAGGTTTCTTTCTGTGGCAATGGAAGAGTAGCCACAGAAGAATAAGTAGATAAGTCATCCAGTCTAGAAGGACACACAGGCCCCAGCGAAGGTAACTGAGGTCAGAAGGAAAGCTGTTCAAGTCAGGCAGGAACACAGTGCACAGAGAGCTTAGAGTGACTAATGACACCATGGACAGGAACAGGCCCCGTCTCAAGGAAGAAGAGCAAAGCCCCAGTTGTACCAGCAACATAGTTTCAGAGTTCAGATTCCAGAGCCTAGAGCCCAGTGCTAGTCACAAGAACCTAGACAGTACTGAAAGGGTTTCCAGAGCTTTGAAAACGGTGAGTCAGCTACCAACATGAGACCTGAAAAATAAATAGAAACAACAGGAACAGTGAGACATGGCTCACACCACTACAAGGTGAAAGGCTTGAAGTTTGCGGGGGGGGGGGGGGGGGAGAGAGAGAGAGAGAGAGAGAGAGAGAGAGAGAGAGAGAGAAACACAGGAAGTAACCTGAGATAGTTCAGGGCGGGTGCCTGCTCCTGCAGATGCTGCCTGTGCCTCCACTCCACCAGACCTTGGGAAACTACCTAAGTGCATGCAGCCAGCCTCCTGGTCTGAAGTTAAGGAAGTCCCCTGGAAATAGTGGAGGAACAAAGCCACAGGCTGAAAGTGGGGCATTGAAACGATGGCTGGGGGAAGTCAACCAGGATTTTATAGGTCAATTTATGAAAAGGATAAACACCGCAGTGAAGAAGCCATCACACTTTGTAAATAACAGTTCAAGACAAGGACGTAAGTATCCGAAACACGGAAAGACAGTCTTGATACACAGTAAAAGAAAGCAAGAGTCGGGCCTCCGTGAGACACCAGACCATGAAATAGGCAGGAGCAACAGCACTCTTCCAAGGGACCCTGGGACCGAAGAACACAAGATCTTGCACACATCTAAAGGGTTTCTCTGCCTTCTTGTACATGTGGAGAAGTATGTTTGAGAACGGTCTTTCTACTGAGAAGGTCAGAAGCAGTCTGTACCCCATCCACACCACGCATAGGTGAATGGTCTGAGAGAATGAAGAGATCAAGTCATTTTCCAGAATTTTCAGGGCCTACTTCTGAACAAAAGCACCTGGTCTGAAGCCAGCCTGTCCTCCATTCACCTTAGACTCCGGTTGTTGAGATCTTACAGACACCAACAACTACAAAGGAGTGTGCAAGGGATTAGCTGATAGTGTCTAAAGGGCAGACTTGCCATTGTTCCAGAGATAAGAATGGCTCTGGTGCCTTCTCTGCCTTAGCTAACAAAGGGGACTCCACAGAGATGGGATTTCTGTGGTCTGTACTAAGGTTGCAGGAAAAGACCAAAGTCCTGAGCAGAAGGCAGCCTTGCAGCTTGGGTATAGTCAGAGTTCAGAGGTCTCCTGGTCTTTCTGCACTGCCTCTCAGAAAAGCCCACACTCCAGGAATTCAAAGGGCACAGGGTACCAGTCCCAGACTCTGAGACCCTGATCAGGGCAGAGCACAGCTTTAAAAAATGTGGCGCTAACTGGAGCCTGCCCAAGAGGTAAAGAAAGGTAGGTCAGTTACATGGACTCTGTGGCTGTTCTACAGCCACCTGGAAGTCTGGCTCAGGGGGCTTATGGGACTGGAGAGCATAGCCAAAATAAGGCATGGCTTCTACAGCCAAGATGGGGGAGCATATGTGGGGCACGTACAGGCTGGTCCGACACCAAAAGCACAGCCTGCCTCTGCTGGCTAAAACTTGATCTTGCCTGGAGCTGGCGTCTTGGAGTCTAGACTACTGGGGCCACAGGTGGTGACCAGTGATGTGGCAGGCAGAGTTTCTGCCTTCTTGATGGGCCAGGAGACTCACACCACAAGGGGCCAAGCCGTTCTCAGGCTTGGAGAGGGCAGAGGCACCATTTGTGGGTGGTGCAGGGTTGTCCTGGTTAAACACAGCAGCAACTTCCAACTCTGGGTGGAAGAATCCTTCTTAGAGGCTGGCACCTAATCTCTAAATACCCACAATTACCTATGGAGAAACAGGCTAGGGAGCTCTATCAGGGCTATCCAGTTAGGAAGGGTGGGTCCAAAACCAGCCTGCATTCCCCACCACTGCCATCAGACTCAACAGAAAATGCTTTTTTCTGAGATGGGATCCTGATGTGAGGATTCCAACATCACTCTGGGATAAGGGGGAACATGGATGATTTGGAAGGTGGAAGGCCACTTTTTTTAGCAATTCAGAGAAATCACCATAATATGAGTGAATTTGATTGTACAAAACATCATGTAAGCCAAAGGAAGCAGCCCTGTCTGTCAGCATTCCTGCTGTGTTGAAATCAAGCTGAGCATAGGAATTGCAGTCACCTTTCTTCTGAGTCCAAATCAGACACAAGAGCCATGGCCAAATGGCTGCTTTCCTTCAGGGCAGAGGTAAGTGCCCTTCAAGCCTTCACAGGGCTGCTGATAGCTGAGGGGACCGAGACACCCAAGGAGGTGGTCACTGGTTCTCTGTAACCTTGATTACCAGGAAACCAGATAGTTTCTGCTTGGGGATTTGGAGACTCTTGCTGTAGGGGCTGCTATGGCCCAGATAGGTATGGCCCCAGAGGAGAGCCTCACAGCGGAGGGAAGCAGTGGTTTCCCATAGTTGACTACAGTGGAACAGGTTTGACCTCAGGAAAAGCTGGGTCAAGTTAGGGGGCCTCCATCTAGTGGAGAAGGGATGGACTCTGCCCAGCCTAGGCTTTCTCCTTTCAGTTGCTGTTCAGTCCCCTCTGTGGAGTCTGTCATGACCTGAGGGACTCTGTCATCACTGCACATACCTGTGTGAACATGGCATCTCCATGAGATAGAAACATTGGCATGGTGTGGCAGAGCCTCATCCATCTTTTGGTCTTGGTGTATTGAGAGACAGGCTAGGGAGCCCTGTCAGGGCTATGAGTATCAGCTTTGGGTGGAAGTAACATTTCCAGAGGAATCTGCCTGTCATCAGTGTGGCTCTCATCCACCATCAGCTGTGAGCCACAGCGGGGGAAGGGGGCAGTGAAGAGATTTATAGTGCCTGGGAAGAGGCACCATATATATATATATATAT